AATAGATTGCAGCGTTGGGCGGCTGACTTCGGAACGGCGCGAGAGATGCCGGTGGCGCCTGCGGCGGCCGACGCAGGAGTTCAGGCACGCAAGCGTCTTGCCGTTGAGGACGGGGCTCTCGAGAAGAAGGCCGATCTCGCTACCGAGCTTGGCGCCGCTGGCGCTCAGCGGAGCCGCCTCGAGGCGGCGCGCACCGCCCAGTTCGCCCGCCGCGCTGCTGACCCGATCTGCGTCGTCATAAGTGAACCTCAGGAGGTGATGAAGAACCCCCCCTTCCAGCAAAGGGAGAAAACTTCCCGCACCGGGAAGCGTTACCCCTGCACCCTGATGATGATGATGATGATGATGATGATGATGATGATGATGATGATCATCATCATCATCATCATCATCAGCATTAGCATCATCATCATCATGATCCTGATCCTGATCTTGCGGGTGATGAAGTTGATTATGATGCTGATGGTGCTGATGATGATGTTGATGCTGATGACGAGCATGATGATGATGCGGATGGTGATGATGATCATGATCATGACAATGCTGATGCTGATTATGATGATGACGGAGACGATGATGTTGCTGATGTTGATGATGATGAGGAGGAGGACGACGAAGATTCGGATGATGCTGATGATGGTGTGGCTGATGCTGCTGCTGATGATGATGATGAGGATGAGGATGAGGATGATGATGATGATGAGGATGATGCTGATGATGATGATGATGGTGGTGGTGATGATCATGATGATGATGATGATGATGATGATGATGATGATGATGATGATGATGATGATGATGGTGATGATAGTGGTGATGATGATGATGATGATGATGATGATGATGATGATGATGATGATGATCATGATGATGATGATGATGATGATGATGATGATGATGATGATGATGATGATGATGATGATGATGATGATCAGGAGGAGGAGGAGGAGGAGGAGGAGGAGCAGGAGCAGGAGGAGGAGGAGGAGGAGGAGGAGGAGGAGGGGGGGAGGAATGGGAGGAATGTGCGCGGGGCTGGGGTGGTGCTAGAGTTATCGTTCGGTCAGAGTCCCCCCCTGGAATTTATTAATCTCGGTGCGGTGCTACTGATATCCCTGGGGTTATGATGTTCCAACCTATTTTAGCCCTGACCGCCAGAAAGAACTTCGAGCACCAGGAAATGAGCGAAACTATAGGGTTTTCGAGTGTCGGGCCTTGGGGGGCGATACTCGTTCGACACTGTTTCGATACTTTTCTAGGTGCTCGAAATTATTTCTGGGATGTGGTCCTTCAGTACGATGGGAGCAGCGTAGCCCCGGGTGTTCTTAATCACTTCACGAGGGAAACGCCAACGATGTGGAGCACCTTCCCCGAGTGCGAGGCCACGAGGGGCGCGGCCCTTGTGGCCCCCCCCCGACAGTTTCGCGCTTGCCGCGGTCGCCTTCGCGCGAGTCCAGCGCGGCAATGAGGAACAGCAGGGCGCTACAGTGGAGGCCCATGCCAAGAAATACCTTGCTCGCCTCCAGTAGGGGACCAAACAGTGACATCAACATAAAAACTCGGAGGTCCGCGCGGATTTCTTGGATCGGCGCTGGGCCCCCTCCCTGGCGGCGCCTCCGGTGCCGCCCCTGGCGCGCTCCACGCGCCAGGGAGGGGGCCCAGCGCCGATCCAAGAGACCCGCACGGATCTCCGAGTTTTTATGTTTATGTAATTTTTCGTCTCCCTACGCATGCCAAGAAACACCCTGCTTGCCTCCAGTGTTCCCTGGGTTTCTTGGGTGTCGAGGGCTTCGCGATGGGAAGCGTGACGTCCCCACACCAAAAGTCAGTGGACGCCCTGGTTCTCAGAGTTTGGTTCCTTGTGGAAGGTTTCTCGTGGACGGGCCTCCATTGCATTCGCAGGGCAATGCTTATCTACAGCTTTGTAGCAAGACGTATGCAGCCCCAACGTCCGATCACAAATTTCTGGGCCGCACAGGCGTACGACTCCAAGGTGCGTCGTTGGATGGCCGCGGCGTCCTTTACCTGTGCTCGATAATGCTGTGAGTTCGCGGACGAGGAGCGGCTTAATTGGCCCAAGGCCTGCTGGCTGCCTCGAGCTCGAGGGGCAGGCCACGATTGCCCCTCCAGGGCAGAGCCGTGCGCTGCAGCGGGCTGGCGGCAGAAATCGGTCGTGCGCCGACGCTCGCCGCGAGGCACCGTCAGTGGCGCCCTCCTGTTGAGGAGTGCCGAAGTTTCGTCTCGAGAGAGGGGGGTGCCCGAACATCCCCCGAAGATCGTCGGAGCATCGGTCTCGGTGGAACGCTACCTTACCTTACCTTTCTTTGTCTTACCTTGTCTTACCATACCTTACCTTTCCTTATCACACTTCACCATGCCTGGCCTTATTTAACCTTCTCTCCTTGCCACGTCGTCCTCCCTCTCCCCATATCCGCGGGGGTGGAAGCCACGTTGGGCCCGGTCGGGCTCCTCGTGGGGTTGTTCCTTCTCTCTCTCCAGCTGCCGCTCCCACCGCACCGCCGGGCGTGAAATCAGAGCGGGGGGGGGCATTGGTCGAGGCGAGTGAGAGTCTCTCGCGGCAGGGCCGCTCCCGAGGCGTCGCGGCCACTTGCTGGGAGGAAGCTGCGTTTGAGGCTTCGGCTGCCGTCTCAACGCCGCCAGCATGTTCCTCCCCTTTGCTCTTCTTCCTCCTCCTCCTCCTCCTCCTCCTTCTCCCCCTCCTTCTCCTGCTACTCCTCTTCCTCCTTTCTCTCCTCCTCTACGCCTTCCCTCCTTCCTCGTGCTCCTCGTGCCCTTCCACCTCGTCCGCCCCCTCATCCTGCCCCTCCTTCTCCTCCAACTTCCCCTGGAACTCCCCCTCCTCCTACTCCTCCTCCTCCTCCCCCTCCTCCTCCTCCTCCTCCTCCTCCTCCCCCTCCTCCTCCTCCTCCTCCTCCTCCTCCTCCTCTTTCTTCTCCCCTTCTCCCGGGGAGATGAGAGGAAAGGAGCCGAGAATCGTGACGGGAGGGAGGGGGGAAGGAAGGGGGGAGATGGGGGGTGAGACCTTTGAGATCCGACCATTCGAAAAAAATGCGTCGCGTGTCTGATGCAAATGTTTCTCCTTTTCTCGAGCCCGAAACCGGGCGGAAACGCGCGTTGTGAAAGGAATGCAGCTCCCAGATGTCAGGGTCTCCCCCCTCCTCTCCCCTTCTCCCCCTGTCCCTCCCTCCGCCTCCCCAACCCTCCTCCCACCCCTTGTCCTCCTTGACTCTCCTTGTCCTCCCCTCGGCCCTGCCTCCCTCCCACAACCCCCCTTTCCTTCCCCTGTCCCTCTCTCCTCCCTTCCCCGCGCCCCAGGTCCGGGAACCCGCGGCCCTGGTGAGGTCGCTCCAGGCCCGCCTCGGAGCACACCGCGCGCGCCAGCGCCGCGCCGGGGGGAGGGAAGGCCCGAGGGCCGAGCTGCTCGGGCTGCTCCAGGATCATCATGATGATCATGCTGATGCTGCTGCTGATGGTGATGACGATGATGAGGAGGAGGAGGCGGAGGAGAAGGAGGGAAACAATAAGTAAGATGAATAAGCAGCACACTTATATCATATATACTACGAATACCAATGCTAAGAATACGAATAACACAAGAATAACAATAATACTAATAATAATAATCATAAGAAGAAGAAGAAGAAGAAGAAAAGGAGAAGGACGACCATGCGGATCTGCTGTCGGGGGCCTATCGCCGATCTATCGGCGACGTGTCGCAGACTCAAGCTCGAGGTTCCGGTCCCTGAGCTGGTCCCCCCCCCTCCGAGTGTTGCCCCTCGAGTATAAAAGGCGACCCCCCCCCCTGCAGGAACGGCGAATGCCGCCCTCCGGGTGTTCACTGCCTGGCCAAGTTCAGGGGAGGATACACACCGCCACCCATCCCTCGTCGCCACGGCCGGATTCCGAGAGCTCGTTGAATTCACCCTGGGAGAGGTTGCCGGAGTAGCGATGTGGGTCTGTATGTGTGCCCCCTTTTCCCCCTCAAAACGCATGCATGATATCGCTAGGAGCTCTCCGGTGGTGCGTGTGCATGTGCGTCAATCGATATTGTCGTCCTCCGTTCCCCCGCCCTCTAATTACATATCTCTACCAGTCCCTCCTTCGGTCTCGGAGATTGCCGCTCCTCGTCTTCCCACTCATACCAGCCACTCCTTCCCCATCGCTGCCCTCCCCATCTCTCTCCAAACCTCCTTCCGCTCGTTCCCCACACTTGTTTCTCTCTTTCACTCCGCCTCATCCCCCTTATCGCCCTCCTTCCTTCCCACTCCGTTTGTCCACTGACCCTCCTGCTCCTCCCTTGCGTTGCACGTCGCTTCTTTCGGGGGCGCGCCCTGTCGTCGGTCCCTGGTGACGTTGACCCATCGTTTATGTGTTTTTGTTGGGAGGCAAACGCTCTTCTTTGCTGGGCGTGTTCCCTGTTTTTGCCACTGGCCTTCCTAGACCTTTGATTTCAGCCAGTGCTTTCCTCCCCCACTCCCCTGCTCTTCTCCCTCGCCGTCTTCGTACGCCTCCTTCTCCAGCCCCTCCTCTTCCTCCTCTCTTTTTCTCCCTCTCTCGTTCTCTCATCCCCCTCCTGCGTCCCTCCCCTCTGTCGCCTCCTCGTCTTCCTCCCTTCTCACTCCACCTCCCCTGCCCCTCTCCTCTCCCGCACTCCCCCGTCCCCGTTGCCCTCCCGGCCCATCCGTCCCATTTTGGGGGGGGCTCGTGCCGCGCACTGTCCGGCGGCGCCCGGGCAGCTCGGCCCGCAGGGGCTGTCCTGCCCCGCCAGGAACCTGGCAAAATTCCACGCAGCACTCGCAAGTGCATCAGCCCTGGGACGCCGTCTGCTTCCCTTTCCGATGACTCCCGCCCGTCCCTCTCCCTTTCCGTCTCCAGGGTTCCCGCCTTCGCCCCCCCTTCTCTTAATGCCGGTGCACCGCTTCTTCCGCCCGCGCGACGTGCCGCGGTGCCCTCAGTCCGCGCCGCCACGCCATATCAGCTCACTCCGCACCATACTTGGACACCTGCATACTGCAATCTGCCACTTGGCCTGGTGGCCCTCCGGCCGCAATGCTGGGAAGGCCAGCTGGGACGGGGCAGGAAAGCGGGAGCGGGCGACGAAACCGAGGGCCCCCTCTCTGCACGTCCGTGCTCTATGATGGCCACTGCCAGGCCCACAACTCCTCGCGTATCCTCCTTCTCCCCCCGTCCGCTGCTCTTCCCGCAGCTTCTGGAGGAGGAAGAGGAGGAGGAGAACGAAGACGAGGACGAGGACGAGGACGAGGACGAGGAGGAGGAGGAGGAGGAGGAGTGGCAGCTTTTGAGTGCCAGATCCCTGAAGGTTTTTGGTTGCGCGCGCCAGGGGGGGGGGTCCAAGGGGGGCGGCCTCCTGAGAAGGCAGGGGGCTGCTTAGAAGGGCCCGCGGGGGCTCCCAAGAAGGAGCTCCGCTCTTCTCCTCCGGCCCAGGGCCCGGGTGGGCCTCGTGGGGGCGTATCCTCAGAGGAGGAAAAGATACCCACACCGCTACCCGTCGCCTGTCTTCCCCCTTTTGGGCCCCCTGGGAGGTCCTCGTTGCCACAGGTGGATTCGCCTCGAAATCTGGGTCAAAACGCACCCCGTGAGAGGTCCGGCGAGTAGAGGTATCGGTACCTCTTGGTTTCCCCATGCCTGTGTGTGGACGGCCCAGTTGGTTTCGCAGGCGGGTTTCTCAGTGGCGTGATCGTCGGGTCTGTCTCTGCGTTCCGGGCGTGTATCGACCGATCGCTCGCTCTCCCTCGTTCTGTTCGTGCCTCCTGCCTCCGCCACTCCCGCTTCGGAGCGGGCTGTGGTCCCGAATTGGCGTGGAGCTCTCTCTCTCTCTCTCTCTTTCCCCAGCGCTTGCTGTCTGGCTGCGCTGCCGCGCATCCTCGCCACCGCGCCGTGGGGGCGGAGGGGGGGGGGGGGGGCCCGGGGCCTGCCCCTGCGACGGCCACGAGTCACGAGGTCCAGCATCCGCAGCCAGAGCGAATTCCTGCGCTGTCTCCCGGCCGCCCCCGAGCTGGCCTGCGGGGCCTGCCCGCCTGGTAGGATCGACCAGCTCCCCGGGCAGGCGGAGCGGGGCTCTGTGCTCCTCGTGCCGTGCACGAGCCTGCCCGGGCGTCCGGCCCCCCCCCCCTGCGTCGCAGCGTGCAGCACGCCCGCTTGCTCGTGCCTTGGTCGGGCGAGCGCACGCCCAGGGCGAAGCCTGCCAGGGCGCTCCGCCACGCGCCCGGGCACGCCCTGGAACGGCCGCGACGACCGACACGTCCCGCAGAGCTGCCGAACCTCAGCTGTCCCCCGACGTCTCCCGAGCCGATGCTGTCCGGCTCTCGGCTTCGTGCTGCTGCTCCGATGCTCTGCAGCAGCCGCGCCCGAGGGCGGAGGGCGCGGGGGGGCGCGGGGGCAGGGTCGGCCTCGTGGCTGCGCTGCTCCTGGCCGTGAGCGGCCTGCACCTGGAGTTCCAGCAGCCGCCCGTGGGGGGCAGGTTCGGCCAGGCACCTCGCTCTCCCTCTCTCTCTCCCTCTCTCGCTCGTTCGCTCTCCCTCTCTCTCTCTCTCTCGCTCTCTCTTTCTCTCTCTCTCTCACTCTCTTTCTCGCTCTCTCTCTCCCTCTCTCTCTCTCTCGCTCTCTCTCTCTCTCGCTCTCTCCCTTTCTCTCTCTCTCTCTCTCTCCCTCTCTCCCTCTCTCTCTCTCTCTCTCTCTCTCCCAGGGGAACGAAGAATGACACAAGCATAAAAACTCGGAGGTCCGCGCAGATTTCTCGGATCGGCGCTGGACCCCTCTGGCGGCGCCTCCGACCCCCCCCCCCCCCTGGCGCGCTCCGCGCGCCAGGGAGGGGGGTTCTCGGCGCCGATCCGAGAAAACCGCGCGGACCTCCGAGTTGTTGTGCTTATGGCGTTCTTCGCTCTCGAACTACGTCCGAGGCATCCTCCTTATAGGTCCGGCGCCGATCCGAACCGATCTGCGCGGACCTCCGAGTTGTTGTGCTCATGCCATCCTTCGTTCCCTCATCTCTTCTAGCTCGGCGTGCCTCGGGGGGCCCGCTCCCTGCATGGTGCGGGTCCGCGGCCGCGGGCGGTCACCGACGCGCTCGAGCAACGGGCGGGCCGCGCCAAGCCGGGAGCACACGGAGGCAGGCGGAAGGGAAGAGGGGCCGCAGGGGAGGAAGTTAAGGAGGAGGCCTCCGGAGACGAAGCCAGGACTAGGTCGGGCTTCTTCCTCTGCAGGAGGAGCACTCAAAACGAGTCAAAGAACTACTCGGGGGACGATGGTTTGACTATTTTTGAGCACTTGGGAATATTTCAGGGGTATTCTTTTCGCCCAAGTTCCCCGAGCTAAAGCCAGGACGAGGATCAAATCGGGTGAGGATAAATCGAGAATCTCTGAGATCTGCCAGCTCTGGAGGATGCCTCGGGCGCCACGGCCTTCTCAGCGTCCCGGAGCGTACCGAAACCATAAGGACGAGGTCTCGGACGTACAGGTCGCCCGTTGAAAGTAGGTATTTCGAGATTCCCAGATCCCAATCTACTTTAAGCGCCTTCCTATTTCAAGAATTGTATGTGTGTATGTTTTTGGTGGGCCGGCGCAACCCTAATATATTTGTTGGGTTAGGTTTGGTTGTCCCTTCCCCAGATGATTGTTGGTACACCCACGGCGGTCAATAAGAAAGCTGTTTTTTTCGTTTTAGCCCCTGCCAGTTTCTTATGGCACGGCGTATTTGGGCATTTCAGGGGCTGGCAACTTCTTCTGCGTTCGGTTTCTTGTCCCATGGTCGCGCAATACATTATGGTTGCCCCTTCCGGGCTGATTTTCGTTGTTCGGGCTTGTTTTCGCTTGCCCGTCTGTTGCATTGGCCTTCGGCTGCCAATTCCTGGCTAGTTTTGGTTATTTTTCGGTTGCCCGTCGGTTGCTGTGGTCGCGCCTGGTCCTCGGCTGGCCCTCGGTCTCTCGGTCTCTCGTCTGCCTTTTTCCTGGCTGGTTTTGGTTATTTTTCGGTTGTCCTTCGGTTGTCCGTCGGTTGCTGTGGTCGCGCGTTGCACTCGGCTGGCCCTCGGTCGCTCGGGCTCTCGTCTGCCCCTTCCTTCGCTGGTTTTGGTTATTTTTCGGTTGTCCGTCGGTTGCTGTGGTCGCGCCTGGTCCTCGGCTGGCCCTCGGTCTCTCGGTCTCTCGTCTGCCCCTTCCTGGCTGGTTCTGGTTATTCTTCGGTTGTCCGTCGGTTGTCCAGCGGTTGCGGTGGTCTCGCCTGGCCGTCGGCGGGCCCTCGGTCGCTCGGTCTCACGCCTGCCACTTGCTGGCTGGTTTGGGTTATTCTTCGTTTGTCCGTCGGCTGTCCGTCGGTTGCTATGGTTGCGCTTGGCCCTCGGCTGGCCCTCGGTTGCTCGGTCTCTCGTCTGCCCCTTCCTGGCAGGTTCTGTTTATTTTTCGGTTGTCCGTCGGTTGTCCGTCAGCTGTTGTGGTCGCGCGTTGCCCTCGGCTGGCCCTCGGTCGCTCGGGCTCACGTCTGCCGCTTCTTGGCTGGTTTCGGTTATTTTTCCGGTTGTCCGTCGGGTGTCCGTCGGTCGTTGCGGCTCTCGGTCGCTCTGTCTCTTGTCTGCCCTTCCCAGGCTGATTTTGGATATTTGTCGGTTGTCCGTCGGTCGCTGTGGTCGCGCGTGGCCTTCGGCCGGCCCTCGGTCGTTCGGTTTCTCGTCTGCCCTGTCCTGGCTGGTTTTGGTTATTATTCGGTTGTCCGTCGGTTGTCCGTTGGTTGCTGTGGTCGCGCATGGCCCTCGGCTTGCCCGCGGTCTCTCGGTCTCTCGTCTGCCCCTCCCTGGCTGGTTTGGGTTTTTTTCGGTTCTCCGTCGGTTGTCCGTCGGTTGCTGTGGTCGCGCCTTGCTCTCGGCTGGCCCCTTGTCGCTCGGTTTCTCGTCTGCCCTTCCTTCGCTGGTTTTGGTTATGGTTCGGCTGTCCGTCGGTTGTCCGTCGGATGCTGTGTTCACGGTGGCCCTCGGTCGCTCTGTCTCTGGCCTGCCCCTTCTTGGCTGGCTTTGGTCATTTTTCGGTTGTCCGCCGGTTGTCCGTCGACTGCTGTGGTCGCGCCTGGCCTTCGGCTGGCCCTCGGTCGCTCGGTTTCTCGTTTGCACCTTCCTGGCTGGTTTTGGTGATTTTTCGGTTGTCCGTCGGTTGTCCGTCGGTTGCTCTGGTCGCGCCTGGCCCTCGGCTGGCCCCCGCTCGCTCGGTCTCTGGTCCGCCCCTCCCTGGCTGTTTTCAACTATTTTTTCGGTTATCCGTCGGTTGCTGTGGTCGCGCCTGGCCCTCGGCTGGCCCTCGGTCGCTCGGTATCTCGTCTGCCCCTTCTTGGCTGGTTTTGGTTATTTTTCGGTTGTTCGTCGGTTGTCCGTCGGTTGCTGTGGTCGCGCCTGGCCCGCGGCTGGCCCTCGAACGCTCGTCTGCCCCTTTTTGGCTGGTTCTGGTTATTTTTCGGTTGTCCGTCGGTTGTCGTGTCCGCCGGTTGCTGCGGTCGCGCCTGCCCATCGGCTGGCCCTCGGTCGCTCGGTCTCTCGTCCGCTCCTTCCTCGCTGGATCTGGTTATTTTTCGGTTGTCCGTCGGTTGCTGTGGTCGCGCATGGCTCTCGGCTGGCCCTCGGTCTCTAGGTCTCTGGTCTGCCCCGTCCTGGCTGGGTTATTTTTTTTCGATTGTCCGTCGGTTGTCCGTCGGTTGCTGTGGTCGCGCCTGGCCCTCGGCTGGCCCTCGTTCGCTCTGTCTCTCGTCTGCCATTATTTTGCGGTTGTCCGTCGGTTGCTGCGGTCGCGTTTGGCCCTCGGCTGGCCCTCGGTCGTTCGGCATCTCGTCTGCCGCTTTACGGCTGGTTTTGGTTATTATTCGGTTGTCCGTCGGTTGTGAGGGCCAGGCGCGACCGCGGATAACCGACGGACAACCGAAAACAATCAAAACCAGCGAGGGAAGGGGCGGCCAATGGGGCCGAGCGGCCTTGGGCTGTTGTGCGCCGCTAAGAGAGGACCCAGAAGTCGTAATCTATGTCTTGTAATTCTCGCGTTTTTGTTGGGGGGGCAGCCCTGAACCCAATCTACTTCTCTCGCCTTCCTACTTCATGTGTCTACCTACTTCTTCCGAGCGACCTGTAATTTGAGAGTGCAGGCCTTGAGTAGGGGAACGAACAATGGCATAAACATAACAACTCGGAGGTCCGCGCGGATTTCTCGGATCCACGCTGGACCCCCTCCCTGGCGCGCGGAGCGCGCCAGGGGCGGCGCCAGAGGCGCCGCCAGGGCGGTCCAGCGCGGATGCGAGAAGTCTGCGCGGACCTCCGAGTTTTTATGTGTGTGTCGTCCTTCGTTCCCCTCTTGAAGAGCGCGCAGGCAGCCTCAGGCACTGGGAGCCCGTGGACTCGCAGTTGATGGCTCGCTCCGCCCAGATTTACGTATGTGCAGGTTTCTTGCCCCGTAGGCGACACAAGCGCTCCGGTTTCCGGGCGGGTCCTTAGATTTAGGTCGCGGAACTTGTTCGTGACCGAGGTTCGTCGTAGCCAGAAGAAGCTCCTGTGTTCCTCATTTGGCGTTCCTTCTGGTTTGGTGGCATTGGTGTGGCCCCTCTCGCTGGCCTGATTGGCCTCGGTATTTTCGGCGGTGCGGCGGCATTTTTGGCGGCGGCATTGGGGGAGATGTTATCTGGAACAGGCCCTCTACAAACAGGAGTAAGAATCACAGCGAGGGAGCCGAACGGTCATTGTTTTCTCCCGGGTGCGTGGCAGAAGTGCTGCGTTACTGTTGTTGCGTTGTCGTCGTCCTATCCCGCGACCCGCCAGCGACCCACCCGCGACCCACCCCGTGACCCTCCCCGCGCCCGCCCCCTCACTCTTACCCGCAATTGTGGGCTGGTACGTATTGTCAGTCATCGGAGCACGGTTTCACGCGTCGCTCCTCGCAGCGCCGGGAGCAGTGAGCGCAAGCGTACCGCTGAGATTGCCCCCCAGCCGGGCAACAGCATGCCCAACTCACCGCATCCCCGATCGAGCAGAAGGAACCGCCCTCCCAGCAGGTGCGCCTCGGGTGAACCCCGGCGCTGGACAGGTCTGGGGTCATCTGCAGAGACGCCCACGCTGGCTCGAGGGCTCGAGGATGTGCGCCTGTGTTTTTTCCCCGGTCCTCAGAAGCTCGGCGGCGAGGGAGGGGGGGAAGTGAGAAGGAGAGGGCCTTCTCAGAAGGCTCGGAAGTTCCTGGGCCTTCTGAGAAGTTCTCTAAGCCTTCCCCGATGACAAAAAGAAACCTCTCAGGAGGCGCGAGGGCTCCTGAGAAGTCCCGCCGCCTTCTGAGAAGGCCTTCTCCTTCTCACTTCCCCCCCTCGCCCGCCGCCAAAAAGACGTCCACGCTGGCTCGAGGGCTCGAGGAGGTGCCCCTGTTTTCTTCCGATCCTCCGCAGCATCGTCACTGGCGTAGGCTTGAGTCGGGCCTGTCCCTCTACAGGAGGAAGGTTCGAGAATAGTCAAAAAATAGT